GGGTGAGAGAGGTCCCGGGTTTAATTCCTGGACGATCCCCTTTTTTGGGTTTTATGGCAATATTTTAATGTTGTTTCAAATTTACAAAGCTGACCAATATGAAAATACGACAGAAAAGACAATTCAATCATTAGGAGGCTCGTTGGTCTAGTGGCATGATTCTCGCTTTGGGTGCGAGAGGCCCCGGGTTCAATTCCCGGACGAGCCCCTTTGTTTTAGTTTAATGGCAATATTTTAATGTTGTTTCAAAATTTACCAAGCTCACCAATATGAAAAGACGACTGAAAAGGACAATGTAAACAATTGGAGGCTCGTTGGTCTAGTGGCATGATTCTCGCTTTGGGGTGAGAGAGGTCCCGGGTTTAATTCCTGGACGAGCCCCTTTTTGTTTTCTCGAATTATTGTAATGTTATTTGAAAATTAACGAAGCCGAAAATAAAACATAAGAAAAAATGGACGAAAAGGTAAAGTAAGCTATCGGATGCAAGTTAGTCAAGTGGCATGATTCTCGCTTAGGGTGCGAGAGGTGCCGTATCAATTCGCGAACGAGCCCGCTTTTGTGTTCTAGAATTATTTAAAAATTAAACCAAGCCGAAAAAAAAATAGAAAAAAAACTGATGAAAAAGTAAGTGAAAATATCGTAGGCTCGTTGGTCTAGTGGCATGATTCTCGCTTAGGGTGCGAGAGGTCCCGGGTTCAATTCCCGGACGAGCCCCTTTTTTTTCGCTTTCTCGAATTATTGTAATGTTATTTCAGAATTGACCAACCTGAAAAAAACATTAGGAAAAACGGAGAAAGGATAAATAAACTATCGCAGGCACGTTGGTCTAGTAACCATATTCTCGCTTTGGTTGCGAGAGGTCCCGTGTTTAATTCCTGGACGAGTCTTTTTTTGTAATTTTCTCGAATTATTGTAATGTTATTAGAAAATTAACCAAGCCGAAAATAAAGTATAAGAAAAAATGGATGAAAAGGTAAAGTAACCTATCGGATGCAAGTTAGTGGCGTGATTCTCGCTTGGAGTGCGAGAGATGCCGTATCAATTCGCGGACGAGCCCGTTTTTGTTTTCTAGAATTATCGAATGTTACTTAAAAATTAACCAAGCCGGGAAAAATAGGGAAAAAGTGACGAAAAAATAAGTGAAACCACCGCAGGCTCGTTGGTCTAGTGGCATGATTCTCGCTTAGGGTGCGAGAGGTCCCGGGTTCAATTCCCGGACGAGCCCCTTTTTTGGCTTTATCGAATTATTGTAATGTTAATTTAGAATTGACTAAGCTAAAAAAAAAAAAAACATTAGGAAAAACGAAAAACGGAGAAAGGATAAAATAAACTATCGCAGGCTCGTTGGTCTAGTAGCCTTATTCTCGCATTTTAATGTTGTTTCAAAATTTACCAAGCTGACCAATATGAAAATACGACAGAAAAGACAATTCAATCACTTGGAGGCTCGTTGGTCTAGTGGCATGATTCTCGCTTTGGGTGCGAGAGGCCCCGGGTTCAATTCCCGTACGAGCCCCTTTTTCAGTTTTATGGCAATATTTTAATGTTGTTTCAAAATTTACAAAGCTGACCAATATGAAAATACGACAGAAAAGACATTTCAATCATTAGGAGGCTCGTTGGTCTAGTGGCATGATTTTCGCTTTGGGTGCGAGAGGCCCCGTGTTCAATTCCCGGACGAGCCCCTTTTTTTTTAGTTTTATGGCAATATTTTAATGTTGTTTAAAAATTTACCAACCTGACCAATAAGAAAAGACGACTGAAAAGGACAAAGTAAACAATTGGAGGCTCGTTGGTCTAGTGGCGTGATTCTCGCTTTGGGGTGAGAGAGGTCCCGGGTTTAATTCCTGGACAAACCCCTTTTTGTTTTCTCGAATTATTGTTATGTTATTTGAAAATTAACCAAGCCGAAAATAAAACATAAGAAAAAATGGATGAAAAGGTAAAGTAAGCTATCGGATGCAAGTTAGTCTAGTGGCATGATTCTCGCTTCGGGTGCGAGAGGTGCCGTATCAATTCGCGAACGAGCCCGCTTTTGTTTTCTAGAATTATTTAAAAATTAACTAAGCCGAAAAAAATAGAAAAGAACTGATGAAAAAATAGATGAAAAAATAAGTGAAAACATTGCAGGCTCGTTGGTCTAGTGGCATGATTCTCGCTTAGGGTGCGAGAGGTCCCGGTTGAATTCCCGGACGAGCCCCTTTTTTGGTTTTCTCGAATTATTGTAATGTTATTTCAGAATTGACCAAGCTGAAAAAAAAACATTAGGAAAAACGGAGAAAGGATAAAATAAGCTATCGCAGGCATGTTGGTCTAGTAGCCTTATTCTCGCTTTGGTTGCGAGAGGTCCCGTGTTTAATTCCTGGACGAGCCTCTTTTTAGTTTAATGTTCTTTATAAATTCTATAAACCGAGTGATAGGGAAAGACGCATGAAAAAAGAAAAAAACAATCAAAAACTCATTTGGTTTAGTTGTATGATTCGGTTTTTGTGTGCAAGAGGCACCGGGTGAACTCCCGGATAGGATTCGTTTTAATTTCTTTCAATATTTCAATAATATTTCTAAATTTACAAGGCTGCCCAATAGGAAAAGACAAATGAAAAAGTACATCTGAGAGTCGGTCTAGTGGCATGATTCTCGCTGAGGTTGCAGGAGGTCCCGGGTTCAATTCACGTACCAATCGTTTTTAGTTTTCTGGAAATATCTTTATGTTACTTTAAAATTTACCAAGCTGACCAATAGGAAACTACGACAGAAAAGGCAATTCAAACAATTGGATGCTCGTTGGTCTAGTGATTCTCACTTTGGGTGCGAGAGGCCCCGGTTCAATTCCCGGACGAGCCCCTTTTTTCAGTTTAATCGCAATATTTTAATGTTGTTTCAAAATTAACAAAGCTGACCAATAGGTAAACACGATAGAAAAGACATTTCAATCAATTGGATGCTCGTTTGTTTAGTGGCATGATTCTCGCTTTGGGTCCCGGACGAGCCCCCTTTTTTTGCTTTTTTGAATCATTGTAATGTTATTTCAGAATTGAGGAAGCTGAAAAAAAAAACATTGGGAAAAACGCAGAAAGATAAAACAAGCTATCGCAGGCTCGTTGGCTAGTGGCATTATTCTCACTTTGGTTGCGAGATGTCCCGTGTTCAATTCCCGGAGGAGCCCCTTTTAGTTTATTTAAATACTTTAATGTTCTTTATAAATACTTTAAACGGAGTAGTAGGGAAAGACGCATGAAAAAAAGAAGAAACCATCGAAGCCTCATTTGGTTTAGTTGTATGATTCTGTCTTTGTGTGCGAGAGGCACCGGGTTGAACTCCCGGATAGGATTCTTTTTAAATTTCTTTCAATATTTCAATAAAAGGTCTAAATTTAGAAAGCTGCCCAATAGGAAAAGACGAATGAAAAAGTATATCGGAGGGTCATTGGTCTAGTGGCATGGTTCTCGCTTGGGGTGCGGAGGTCCCGGGTTCAATTTCCGTACGAGCTGTTTTTAGTTTTCTGGAAATATCTTTATGTTAATTCAAAATTTACCGAGCTTACCAATAGGAAAATACGACAGAAAAGACAATTCAATCAATTGGAGGCTCGTTGGTCTAGTGGTATGATTCTCGCTTTGGGTGCGAGAGGTCCCGGGTTCAATTTCAGGACGAGACCCTTTTTTTAAATTTTTATGGCAATATTTAGTGTTATTTTAAAATTTACTAACCTGACCAATAAGAGAAGACGACTGAAAAGGACAATGTAAACAATTGGAGGCTCGTTAGTCATTGTGTTTTTAGTCGTTTTTCTCTATTTCTCAGCTAAATTTTGACTTAAGTATATTTCCCGAAAACTAAAAGCGCACTTGCCCGGAATTGAACCCGGTTCCTCGCGCGAGGATCATTCCACTAGACCAACGAGTCTTCTATGGATTTTATTGTCTTTTCATGTGTCTTTTCTTATTGCTCGGCTTTATAAATTTAAAAATAGTATTAAAATACGTAAAGAACAAAACTAAAAGGGGCTCGTCCGGGAATTGAACCCTATTACTCGGTTTAGTAAATTTATAAAGAACATTAATTTTAAATAAACTAAAAGGGGCTTGTCTGGGAATTGAACCTTTGATCTCTTGTAACCAAAGCGAGAATCATGCAACTGCTAGACCAACGAGCTGCGATAATTTATTTTATCGTTTTCCCCTTTTCCTTATTTTTTCGGCTTTGTCAATTCAGAAATAACATTACAATAATTCAAGAAAGCAGAAAAAAAAAAGAAAAAAAGAGGCTCGTCGGGGAATAGAAGCCGAGGGTCTCCCACACAAGGCGAGAATCATGCCATTAGACCAACGATCCTGCGATGGTTTATTTTATTTTTTCATCAGTTTTTTCCTATTTTTTTCGGCTTAGTTATTTTTAAAAAAATATATTACAATAAATCTAGAAAACAAAATAAAAGGTGGGGGGGGGGAGACACAATATCGGTGACATATTATAATGTGATTTATCACTTTCTGATTCTGATATATGGTTTCAGTTATTTATTTGTCATATCTAATAGTAAAACATCTGATATCTAGGTAAAGGACGGTATGTATTTCCAAGTATTCTGATGAATTCAAAATATAATAATGATGATCATTCAGATGATGATGATAATGTTGATGAGATTTATATTTAGTTTTAAACGATTATTTTTATGTAATGGCATTATTCTAAAACATGTTTAATGATGCTTACGTGTTAAACAATTTGGGCCCTTCCATCCTTGCTTGCAAGAACACTGGTCCTTATAAACACATTCACCGTCGTTGTAACACGGAGGATCACAGACAGCTACAAGACAAGCAAAAATGTCAATGATTCTAAGTACCTAAACTGTTTATCATGTTCAACGGTGAGTTATAATCGGAAGCCTGTTGGCATACATCTCAGATCGGTAATTACCGAATAAATATCTCCCAAGCTTAAAAAATGTTGTCTTGATTTGCAATTCTACAATGGGTCTGATCTATTTTTAATCCCTGTAATCAAAACATAATAATGATATATCGAAGGTAGATCCTCGTGTTTTTCCGCAGAAAGGGTAAACAGAAGCCAGCACTTTAAAAGTTATTATTTTGCTATGAATAATAAAGGGGCTGGTTTAACTAACTTGCAATAAAGCCATATTTATAAAGCTCTGTCCATCCTTGTAACTTTTGTTTGTGTTGTTTTATTTCTTGCTCATTCAAGAATACAGTAATGCAAAATGTATTAATTGAAGTATCATAGAATGACAATAGTATATCAACATTGAAGTTAAGAAAAACTTTAGAAACATTAAAATCTATTTAAAACAATTTAAAAGACACCAAAAAAGAGAAATCATCAACAATTTACCAAAAAAATAAAAAATAAATTAAAGAAAACAAAGAGAAAAAAAAAAGAAGACAAGAAATAGGTTACAAAGGACAAGAGAAGTATATCAAAATTCAATTCAAAAGACAGCAAAGGATGACTCTCTACAAATCACAAGTTTGTATCCTTACTGGTCCTAGAAGAAAAAAAATAGAGGGGATTTGGAGAGTAAAAAAAAAAGCAAAAATAAAATAAAAATAAAATTAAGCAATTATCAAGAAATGTGACAATACGGTTACACGTGATTGTCCATTATGGGTGGGATATGACATCATTATGTTCATAATATAGTGGAAAACCACAAATAGGCCTATTTGTCTCTAAAAGACTTAATATTGTGGACAGAACTTCCTTTCAAATAATGTTTCTCGTCCCCTACTTTCTTCTTATCTTTTTTTTTGACTTTCCAAAGATACTACCGTACTGAAAATAAAATCCTTCGGAAATATGAGCGTCCCCAAAATCAACACATTGTGAGCTTAGGTCTGGCCAAGGCCTAGTTATTTTCCTCCATTATTATACGACTGTCTATGGGTGAAGTGGTCATCTTTGTAAAACAGGAACTCTCTTTTAAAAAGCCAGTACGAGAAAAAGTAGGGAACAGTTAATTTCACTGTACCCTGAGAAAAAGTAAACAAATATAACAAAAAAAAAAAAAAAAAAAACATCTTTTGCCTGCATAAGTATATTAATACATTATCATAGCAACGGTATATAACAGTCATTAATTTCCGATTGAAACCATTATGTTGTATACCAGTCCGTACTTACGTCTACAGAACGGTGGAAGAAATCCGTATGGACAAGAACAATGGTTCTTAGCAACGCATCTTCCGCCGAATCGGCATGGTTCGTCACATAAATCTAGTATTTAATAAGACATACAAAATATTAAATATAGGAAAAAAAGAGACTACGATATGTAATATAAATATATATTTATATTATTAATTAGCAATCTAAAAATATATTGAATTATAACTTTTCCTACTTTGTTCGCAGTATTGTCCAGAAAATCCGATGTTACATAGACATGTTCCGGTATGGTAATTACAACGGCCGTCGTTTTTACAGCCAGGATAACAAGGATCTAAAGGTAAAGAAAATCAAAACTGTCATCCTATCTGTCATTTGACTACATGTTGACCTTACTCCTACGAGTCAAAAAAATATACAATATTGCCTTAAATATGTGGCAAAGCCATCTTTATTTACCACATAGGCCTATGAGAACAAAAATCACAAAATGTAAAAAACAATAAAGAAAATTAATTAAGCTTACAATACACAACATTGATTCAGAATGAATTAATTTTTTTTAATAACCTTCATCTTTTAGAAAAATATCTTCTTTGCAGTTATATTTTTCTAAAATACTAATAACATTAGTAAGTTGTTGTTTCTACGAATATAATATTATTACAAATATAATACTATTATTTAATATATTATTTTTTTATAACAAAACATATAAATCTCTTCTTATTTGTCAAGGACACTGGTCCTAACAATATCTAACGTAAGTTGTCAATGTTGTCATCATCATTTTCATTCCAACGCGTTAAAATAGTTCCAAGGATATTAAACATGGGTAGCTTTAGTGTGAATAAAATACCCTTTGGCAACCTTTCCAATAAAAGTCTACAGTTACAACATCATCATGAAAATTGAACTATATAATTAAATATTTAAAAAAATCTATTAAAAAACATTAAAGTTTAATAGCTTGGTGGTTAAGATGCTCGCCTATGATCACAAGCTTCTTGGTTCAAATCCTGTCAGATTCAAGGATTTTTTTTACGACAAAACATAAGCCATACCGTAAGCATTTGTTATGAGACTTAATTTATGTAGAGCATCATGTGTTTGTCATGTAGAGGGGTTGCCGCCTATATAATAAGACAGTGATTAAGTCGCTATGGGTTATAATCCTTGGCCATGTGCCTAAAGGAATAAAATTAAATTTAAAAAAAACTTAGGCTACCTGGACATGCTTGAGAGTTGCAAGTTTGACGTTCAATAACGCTTCCAGGTCCATTTTCAAGACACACACTATTAGTGGAACTCGAGTAACAAAATCCCACACGCTGGCTTTCACCTCCGCCACATGTTTTACTGCAGTAAGTCCATGAAGACCATCTAAAATTCTCTGTAATTAGTGTCATAATTTCAGTTATAAGTAATAGGAATTATCATAGCAAAATATTCTCGTGCTGGAGAGGGGGAAGAAAGAGGGGTGACTACAACAAAAGGACAAACATGCTCGTCTGAGAGAGGGTTGCGTTTGAAGAGCCAAGCCAATATGGGATGGTAGACTACAATCATGCTAAGAAGAAAACGTATGTGTTAGAGAAGGACAGTCAAGTTCATACAGAACATAACAAACACTGTTCGTTTGGGAAGGTGATATGTTGGAAGAGGAGGTAATTTTTTTTTGAGGAGACAACACACGCATGCTCATCTGGGAGAAAATATGTTTGGGGAAAGAAAAGACAAACACGCCTCATATGAAAACGGAGACAACGTACATGTTTGTCTTGATGGAAGTGCTGGAGAAGGAACGGCAAACAACCGCATAATTTGGAAGGGATCACACATGGTATTATGTGCTGAAGGAGAGCGACAAACAAACACACAATAAGGAGGAAATACACAAACATGCTCGTCTAGGAGGTAAGTAGGTCTGATCGCCTGAAAGAGGGCATTGAAACAACATAAATAGAACGGAAAAATGTTCTCGTACGTGAAAGCCTTCCGATTAGCAGAAACACACAACAGAAAAGCTTTAATAACACATGCAACAATTTATTGCAAAATTACATGGTTAGTTTTGCTGCTGGTGTGGGGCATGCACCACTACGTACCGTTACAGGCTGGAAGTATGCATCTTTTTACTTCTCGAGCCATTGTTACCCCAAATGCACAGCGTTCGTGTTTTGAGTAAGGTGGACAACGCGCTAATCTCTGCTTGACTCCGGTACCACAAGTCTGGGTACAAACCCCCCACTCCATCCATTCTAAAGTTTCCTTTTCTGCAGAAAATAAATGGACGTGTTTTAAATGAGCAGTTTGTGTTTTATAGGCCTACCTGTATCCAGTTTAGATTTTGTTAAGATTAGGGACCTGGCAACCCGCTGCAGTGCAGCATCTACCGTCCACTACCGTACTGCAACAAGTGACGATTTTGAGTTTATGTCTTTACGTGTAACATTTCTTATATGGAAAATGTATCCGTTCGGATATCTCGTCGTTGAAGATCCCTAAGAAAAGGGTGTATCACAATTATTTCTGTGTGTGCTTTAAATACTAGTGCTGTATAATTGGCATACCGTAGAGTGTGACATCAATTGCCTCAAATCAGATTCGAACTTCCAACGAAGCCTCAATGGCCCGGTTGTTTAAGGCGTCTGCATAGACAGCAGAAGGTCCCGGGTTCGAATCCTGGTTGAGACACTTTACTAAGCTTTTGACTAACCTTCACCATCTCCTGAGGCAAAATCTGCTATATCCCCTCGCCTGGCGTCAAAGCCTATAAAATTTGCCGGGCCACGCGATGCAGTGATGTCACTTGGAAACAAGTCCCCCAATTTATTCTGATTATCTTCAAATATGTTATCGAATGAGAGGTTGCTCGAGCTATCCTCTTCTTCCATCACTGCTACGTCAGTGTCTCTTACAGCTGTCAGCGTCGGCGGCGCTTCAGTTGGCTCATATGCCTCAAGGACCTCCACGATTTTCTTAGGAGTAATATTTATATTGGGTTTGAAATATGACGTCAGCATATATCTTGTATTTGCTGGTCGCTTTGTAGTTATCAATTCTGGGTTCTTATGAGTATACGTCTTTTCTTTATATGTAGCTCTCGGAATACTTTCCTTCTCAGTTTTAGAACGGGTTTGCAGTGCCTTCGTTGTGAGTGAAGGCACTGGTTGAACCGTCGTAGATTCCTCTCCGTTACCCTCGTCACTCACTTGTGGATAGATAATTTTATCGAACATAGATGGGATCTGTGGATAGTGGAGATAAATGATAGACGTATATTAGTCATGTGTGTATAGTCGTCCATGCAGGACTATACTAATTAATTATCATCGTATTTTGACAATGTATAAGTCTAGTGTTTGGTCATAAATTATTTTAGATTATATCATTGTCTTACCGATCGATTATCCCGAGGACAGTGAAGAGCCGCAGCATTGGCATCGTTTGATATTATCAGCTGTTCAATATCCCCCTAGAAGAAATGGAATGATTTAAAAATACACATCATTAAGTAAGAGGTACTAAGATAGTTAGAGGCGATAAATCTTTCTATTTTACACTCTGGCGTGCTAATTCAATATGACACGGAAAGTATCATTTCGGTTATATATTTTTAATATTATTATCAATAGAGATGTGCCATGAATGCTCTATATTTGAATCGTAACTAGTTCGTTTATACTTGCCTCGTAATACATATCTCTACTAGAGGACGTTGCCGAGCCAACTGACGTTGTCCCCTCAGGATCGATTGCCAGGGTGTCTATCTCCATTTCGCCGCTGTAAACATACGCACAGTCGCTATGCAACACGACGTTAGATCCTTTGATACTGAAAGCAAGTTTGTGCCACCTTCGATCGAGCATGTTGACCGGGAACGAGAGCGAGATCTCTTTGCGTATCTGTCCCACCTTCTGGCTGTACATCAGCGCAGGATTGTCCCCGATCCTGATGCCGAGTTGCAGGATTCCACTTGAGTCAACCATCTGGAGGACATACAGCCGGCCGTCACTGGAAAGCCTAGGCCTGATTTCCATGATGATAGACAAACTAGTCGGGAACGTGCTGCCGAAGAGATCGTACGTTTTCATCCGAAGTATTGCGCTTCGGTCAATACGGTAACCCGATGGACGATACGGAAGAGCGGTGACACCGCGTGGTAAAGTCGAGATTGACAGCAATTCGATGAGATCTTTGTTACCTGGTTTGATAATGATAGCAAATTAAAAATAATAATTTCGGTTTATCGTCAATTCAGTTTTTTGTCAAAATGCTAAAACTATACTATTAAAATGTTTCAGCATTTAGGACAAATATTGCAAAGAAAGGTAAAGGTAGGAGAATAACCCATAACTCGCGTATGGGAGTGGTACGTAACTATTTAGCGGCCGTAAAGAGGCGCTTATAGTTGCTACATGTTCACATCATTCCACTACGACAGGGGCTGAAATGAACCATCGCATCGGGGTAACCCCTACTCTTTCGAAAGATGCAATGGGTTCTTTAAAGTGCACACGAGCAAGATGTGTACACTGGACTTCCATTTTAAGTACTTATCCGAGAAGACTTGGTTCTACCAACTGTTAACGAATTAAATATAAGTCTATATATTCTACAGGTTATTGTAGTGTTATATTAATATTAACCGTAGTACCGGTACAGTTCCATTTAGTCGTGGAAGTATCTTCTAGATAAGAACCTAAAAACTAGCCAAACCAAGCCATATTTAAACATTTATTTCAAAAACTCATTTTAGTACGGTCGGAATTGAATAATGCAGGTTAATATTTCAGTATAGTCCTACATATTTTACAACGACATAAATAGGCCTATGTAAAAAAAGATTTAGTGAGAATGCTGATATTGACATTGTTTAGATAGTTTTGATCTGCCGTATACTGTAGGCTTAGGCCTATATCACATTGTCAAATCAGGGATGTATAAATATGCCTGTATATTTTCGTATAAAGTGTTCAGTGAAATAACAGTTTCGTCTAGGGTCATGTTGTGCGGACGACTTGACATACCGTACTCGAATAATTGTGTAGCGGACCGTAGGGCCGGAGGGCGATTTTACTACATGGCGAGTACGTTTATTTATGATCGCCTGTCATAATGTAAGTTCCTTCTTGTTTGTGTAGCTATTAATGTTATTAGGAAATGTTAAATCTTTCAATCAACACTCTACTTAAAAAACACCAGCAGCATACCGGTATCTCACCGATACTAACATTTGGTCTAATCCGAAACAATTTGTCAACTGATTGCCAACATTGAGTCTAATTCTCTATGGAATTTTCAACCGGTGATTAGTTCTTTGGTTAGTTTCTACGATATGTTAGAATTCTAAAACAGTTTTTTTTTTGTTTAGACATCCACACACTGATGGTTTTATGTTCTCTAAATACGTCGAACCAGGGAACAGTGAAATTATTGTAATTTCACTTTTCGAACTTTTTTTAAAAAAATTATTACAGTACCAAATTCAAATAGGCCTGATTGAATGTAACTTTTATCGTGTGAGTCGCCCAAGTCTATGTTTATTTATGTCGTGCACTACAGAATTGTATTCTTGTATATTGACCAGACCTATTCCGAGAAAATAATTATTTCGTTGTGTTATAATTCGTATCATGTTGGTTACGTAATTTGAAGAAGATAGGCACATACAGGCCTAGGTCTGTTATATTTTAATGATTAATTTGTTAAATCATGACTTAGAAATAAATTGTATCTTAACTGTACAACTTTATAAAATCTCCTTTTTTTTACCTTCACATTCAAATTTATTGCAGTCCTGTATTTGTAACGCTTTTCCTTCACAAGCATCTGCAAAATCAAGAACGCAGATACGCCTTCGACTCCGAACACCGCCCTCACAGTCTGCCGTACATGGCGTCCATTGACTCCAAGTTCGCCACCCTGATGAAATTAATTAGAATAATGATAAACCATGGGTCTATTAGTCTAAGACGATAATGTCTTTAAAATTGTCATGGTTATTAATTAAAAAACAATCTTGAATTAATGTCTATCCCATACGAAACGAAACTAACCGATTATGAAGGAAGGAATCAGAGGTCAAAGAAGCGGTCGCTGGTTTTCAATCGTGTTATCTTTTCGACTTCCCAAACATGAACTTACTTCCCCCATCATCCGGTAACAGTGTTTATCAATCAATGTGTTCGCAGTGTAATATACCCCCTTTAAAGTATGTGATAAATAGCCTGAATTTATTGAACCCAGAGTACATTTTTACATTCACAGTGAAGTGGCAATAAATTATGTTCGGCTTAGATTTAATTGATTTAGTACGACTCGTATTTTTACCAAAAAAGAAACAGCATTATTGCATTTGCATTATTATGCCTATTCTTAAATTCCGTTTTTTATACACCTTAAACTAAGTACAAAACAGTGCACTAAAAATACAAGTAGGCATATGAACAACCGTGCACAAGTACCGTAACCCAAACAATCGGGGCAAGCGAAAGGAATGTTTTAATCGGGGATGGAGTAAACTCCTCTTGTACCGTAGTCATTAAGAGAAATGGAGTCTACGACTGCAATAAATATTGCATACAGTATTTGCTGCCTACTTGACATTACAAAGGTTATGTTCGGTTTCTTCCAAGAAATAAGTCACGGGTAAGTTCAAATTAAAGAGGGTTACATAGCTTACGTTTAAAGGTGAACAATTGAACAATTCATTTCCATATTTGAATTACGTAATTTGTATTTAAGTACCGTAAGTTAATAACTCTCAACTCAAAATTTCATGTGAAAACAAATATCCTCGTCAATTAACCGACAGTTAAATAATATTAATACCTTTGTGGTATTGCTTAGTATAGGACCATGGAGTCTGGTATTCATTCTAAGGATTTTTTTTGTAGAAAAACTTTTGTAAATAAGAAAAAAAAATTGTTCGATCTGTTTCTGGTTTGGAAGTTTAGTAACGTACGGTACTAGATAATTCTAGTGTGCTATTCCAATTTTTAATTGAAGAATTTTTGAGGTATTTTCCAATGTTTTCGTCAGACAGTTGTATTATTAAAGTATAAGGTCATTACTTTCTACTACCATATTCAAAAAGAGCATGGACCTAATCCTTACTTTTCTACCCGGTTTATTAACTGTAACCTCTTACAATATACAAAACGTGAGAACACTGAGCGGCCCTATCATCGGAAAGTCATGGAGAATGCAAGATCTGGAAAATTCATTTTAACGACAAAAAGATGTAGCATAAATGTAAAAAATGATTTAGGCCTCAGCTGTATAATCATTAGGTCCGGGTTCTCCTGTTGCTACATAGGTGCTTCCTCCCAGTGGGGAATAGTCTCGGAGACGACTGTGATTGCCCTGGCCTCGATAAAATTTGAAATACTGAACCATGGAGCTACCGTACCGTACATTACCACCGGAAAATTGAACTTAAAACACGACAGTCGGTCACTGAAGGACACTCGTACTTTATTTTGATCGAAATAAATGAATCGTGTATGATTTACCATATTGTCTGCAAGTTAAGAGTTGGAGTTTATAAAAAATCCGGGGTACTTGTTGGAAAATTGAGCATCATGGTAGGCCTATATAAGCCAGGCCTAAGTCGCTTAATGCGAGTATTTGGGGCTAAAATATCATCGACGGTGAAACGTTAATGCCTAGAATAAGTTGATTTTGTCCATTAAAAATGAGATAGGGGAAATAGGCCTATCACATATTATTATTATTATTATTATTATTATTATTATTATTATTATTATTATTATTATTATTATTATTATTATTATTATTGTATACTTATATAGCGCATATCAAACTTCTCTATACGCTGAAACATCAACTAAAAATAAACCAAAAACCAAAGAGGGCATTAAAGAGAGAAAGCAGAAAGCACTTGGTCATATGCATAGCTTTTTATTTTATTTTTTGTATAATTTACATGAGTTTTTTACAAAGCAATTTGGCCCATTACTCAATAGGTAGGCTTAAGTTGCAATAGCCCATACCCTGTATATTTTAATTTGACTTGATTTGTGATTCTAACTACAGGCAGGTAAGCCTCTATGTAGTCACCAACATCCCACCAAGCTTTATTGGTCCGTGGCCTACCTCCCACATGTTGATATAAAATGTTAACGTTTGACTACAATTTGTTTTTTATAAGAACACATTTTATAAGAACACCGAGGCTGAAATCGCTTAAAAATTAAGAACAAAATAATAGCAAATTGAGAATGAGGTAAAATATCAAATGAGGTTTTTATTTAATTTTTTTTTAAACAGAAAACCAACAAATCAATTAGTACCTTATTTTCAGTAGGTGTTAGCACTGCATGTAATACCCTCCATAATACAGTAAAGTAATATACTGATTGTAAAATAATAATATTCTATTTTTAAAAAGTGAGAAAAAAATAAGAACATTTTGAGCCTGAAATCGGCCAAACTTTTTACGTTAATTACAGCGTGGGAAATGCGATTGATTGTTCGTAGTACAATTGTTTATTTACGTGTATATTGACCTTGTTATAGCAGTCGTGTGGCGGATTCTAGAGTAAGTCACAGTAGTAAGGCTATTTGAAGTGTCAAATCAATTTCACTTCGTTAAGTGATGGGGTAAGGATAGCTGGTGTCGCTATAAACCGAGGGATCTGTAGAGTACATAAGGTAGCAGGTGGGAAAAGGATGAGTACTAGCCAGACAAGGTGTCTTTTTAACATTACTCTCGAGTCGGAACATTCGGCAACTGTTTAGAACATAATCTTTGCCGCCAAGGTCTTCAATTGGAAGTGCATTTCCGGTGTTAACAGGAGATCGAAGCATTAGACATATAGGCCCCACTGTATTAGGGATACGCATTAGGAATGTGTCTACTTTCTTTTTCGTTTTACAAAACTATAAGCATCTCAGTCATTTTTAAAGGCACGTTCTGTATTTGAATCCTTCCCGAGAACTGCATAATGTGTATCAACTGAGCGTTTGGTTATATAGGGTAGAATAATAAGTCTACATCGAATTTTGAGGGTGGCCTAATTAATGTATTGTAGGTTTCTTTAAGGTTTGGCCATGACGATAATCCCGGACTTGTACCAGCTTATACATTCATGATTTCGTAGGACATGCCCTTATTAAAATCTTCGCCATGTGGCCCGCTAGATTTAAATTGTTGTAAATTTTATACCCTTATCAAAATAAAACATTTGTTAGAAAACATTACGTGCAAACTGCAGTTAAAAGTTAATAGTAAGACGACACACAAACTGTAGCCTACAAATTTTAATCATTTACTTAGGATCGAAATCCATGCTCCTATTGAATCCTCAAATTCCTGCCAACTCGTTAAAAATATGCTATCATAAACAAAGAGGTACTATTTAGAGCTAAAAATATTCTTTATGTGTTGTCATAACAAGTTAAAAACTGTGCGGAACTTACGAAAAACGCATTAGGGGTACAATAAACTATTACTAGTAATTAACCCGATATATTTCTCATCTTGTGTTCGTGTCATGGTGGTGCATCTTGTGTGTACGGTTCTCATGAAGCCTAGATTCTGCCTTATGTTTACCTGATTAAAATGACTAGGTCTATACATACGCCTAGGCCTATGCCTTTTGGGAACAGCGAAACCATGCGGAGATCTACATTTCGGATGACCAATCAGTTAGGAAGTGGCATTACCTGAACGATGTCATTGTTAGCTTTTTAAGACAAACTTAACGACGTGTATATGGCCCAGGGGGAGGGAAAGTATTGGGGTACAAAAGATCAGTAATGGTGGTAGTAGTATTACACTATGAGGGGTTCTACGTCAGCCACTCTTTCGCAAATGGGGACTGGGCTGCACCCCCAAAAGCGCCTTACGCCACTTTCAGATTGTTGTTCAGTTCATTAAAATGTTGGATGATTCAACAATACGAATTCCATGTATGGGCCTCCACACATCAGATCAAGTGCTTCTTGTCCGACCACAATGTTAGAGTCCATGGTGTAAACAAAGGTGTAGAGTCGTTTCATTGCCAGCTATCACAACGTGTGTGCCTACAAGACAGTTCAAATATTGTCACCATAAATTATGGAAAAGACGCAAGTAGAATTATCACCAGGACAGTTCACTCTCGTCTTCATTGTCCTATTATTTTTTTTTCCATACAATTCTCTGATACAGCTGGGTTTTAAAATGGCATTGGATGCAAAAAGGAATGATTTTTTAAAGAGGGAACCTTTATCATATGGCATGATTTTCATGGCAGGTATAATACAGACAATGATGCTTCACACGCCCACATCAAGTTCAAATGCAGGTGAGGTAAATTTAGCTGTGCTCCGGCTGTGAAAACGTGCCTTTGCAAACTTTCTGATGCTACCGTGAATCGATACATCGAACAGAACAATGATTATATAGAGATTACGGTATATACTAATCATCGTGTAAATATTTAAGATCCATTTTTATCTCGTTATCGGCGAGTAAACGGTAATGAACCTCGTCGGACGATTATGGCTTCTGACCATCTTTCAGTAGTAACTATTCTATGTTAAATTGTCAGTCTTCAGCAAGCCTATATGTCAACTGGAATGATAGACACAACAAGAGGTTGCCGTAGCAATAAGGACAGTGGGTTTGATTCCTGGCAAGTGCGCTAGGCCTACTGGTAATTCCCATCGACCATGAATCAACTACACTTTTTTTTTTATAAGAACCAGTAAAATTTTGCCCAGGCTCAGTGTTCTTATTTTTTGGCCGATTTCAGGCTCAAAATGTTCTTATTTTGTTCTTAATTTACATACTTCCCAAAGATAGAAAAGTATTACTGTACAGCGGTATATTGCTGTACTGCATTTTTTAGGGTATTACATAAACATGCCTATTGCACATTACGTGCAGTTAAGATTTGTTGGTTTTTCTATAA